GCAGGGGACTAGGGTTGGTGCTCAGGGGGTCTCGGGTAGACCAGCTGAGTTTTTGAAATGAGTTTCTTTCTGGGCCCTCACTTAGCAACTCAGCCAAAATCTGTCTTGGCAAGTGTTCATCAGAAACCAACTTCTGTAAAAGGGCAAAACATCCCAGTGAGGATTTTCCCCATTTCCTGAGCCACCTACCCCCTTGCCTTTTGTGTTCCATAAATTATTATGGCCTTCATCAGGAATCATCTTTTTTATTATTTTTTATTCAAGCTATTCTAAAACTCCTGACCTCAAGTGATCCTCCTACCTCAGCCTCCCAGAGTGCTAGGATTACAGCTGTGAGCCACCGTGCCTGGCCAGGAATAGTCTTGAGTAAAACCTACACTTTCACTTTTAAAAAAAAAAAAAGAAGAAGAAGCCAGTGGAGAGAAACTCTCATGAAGGAGAATCAACTAGTCTTTCTGGATAAACATATTAGGAAGAAGGCATTCTCTCTGCTTGTTCAGGCATTCCACATGTGTTTGACAGTGCCAGCTCATTTCAGACACTGTGCCATGTGTGGCAGCTTCAGAGGGGTGATGTGTGCTGGTTGTCAGCCTAGACAGGAGCACAGGACACACAATACATGGTATTAGGGAATTTCATAGAGAGGAACATCACTGTGGTACAGCACAAACACAGAAGTTATACAACTTTATTATCTGAGATATGCTGTTCCACGATTTGGTGGCAGAGCTCCTTGCAAATACATGTGTTACAAATCCAAATTTGCTCTGGCCACAGTGTTGCCTAAAGCACCACCCCTATCTGTAACTCTGAGGTTACTTCTGGACAAACTGCAAGTAGCCTCTGTGATGTGGGGGGGGGGAGCTTAAAGAAGTGTAGGCAATACTTCTTCACAGCAAAGAGATCATCACAGCAAAGAGATGCTCTCTCTACCAGGGATTCCCAAGCAGCAAGCCCTTGACTCTGTTGCCACAGCCTCTTACACTGTCACGACCTATCAGGCTCCTGTGGCCCTGGTCTCAGCGCAGGAAGGAACCAGGCGAGAGGTGGATTAGAAGTACAAGCTTGTGGAAGGCGGGGTAGCCCTTACTTTCTGGGTAGACCCGAGCAACCTCCGCACCAGCCTTTTATTGAGCCAGAACAACACAGGTGAGGGGAGTAATTAACAATGAATACATGCTGAGGGCACGAGCTCTTCTTCCACAAGGAACTCCTGTGGAGGAATGGCCCGAAGTCCACGCCTCAGCTGCAGATCATCTTGCTCGGATGTCATCTGGCTCTTGGCATCTCCTACACTACATCCCTTTAAAGACAGTGAGATCTTCTTTGTTTTTAGCTCTTTGATGAGAAAAAACTCAAATCAAGTAAGAAAAATGCACGCAAGAATTTAACACCAAAGATACTCTGATATGCAACATGTGTCAGAGGAGGTATTGTGGGAAATATGCAAGGTGGTCAGTTTTTCTTTTCATTAAACTTATAAGAATATTATAAGTGGAAACTCTTGAGTCCAGAGGAGAGAGATTGCCTTTATTTCCCCAGTTTCTCCTTCAGCTAGGTTTTCAGGGTGGAGAATAAGATGTCTCACTCCCAGTACTTCTGCCATGTCCCCAGTGCTGGCTAATGCTTCCTTTGCACAGGCCATGGCTGGAGAGGCAGAGAATCAAACTCAGTTGTTCCTTGGGAATCTCCCATCTGCTGCTGGGATGTCTGGGGTAGCAAATAGGACATCATCTGCCTCTTCACCATCCTTTCATTCTACGGTATTCCCCTTGCCTTGCAAAAAGTCACAGGAGGTCATGAAGCACATAATCCATTGTGGCATTTTGACAGAATAACCTCAGCCCTGCTAAGGGAGTGCTGTCATTAAGGACTTTCAGCACTAACAAGGAGGAGCCAGAATATGTATGAGCCAAATTACCTCTCCCTTGGCCACAGGGATAGGGACATTGACACCGTGAGGAGGGACGCAGGAGTGTCTATGTGATGCCAGGTGAGGGGGAGGGCACAGCTCCCACGTGGGCTGCCAGCTTTAGACTTCTACATGGATTAATCCTCTAGATATTAGGCACAAAGTGCTTCTTGGAAAGCACTGGATAAGGAACTGAAGCAAACTGCTAATCATTTACCTACTTAGATCATATTTGGATATACATCAATTATCAGCGAGAAATAACAAAATTTATGGAAACTGTCTACTAGTAAAGACGAATTGCTACCACCTTCCCACTCCCTGAAAGCTTCCATAAGCAGAGACACAGTTACAGAAAGCTTGCTGGGGAAAATAAAGCTAAGGACAAAAACACAAAGAAATGACCTTTGAGTCAGTGACCTGATTCTGTCCCTAAACAAGCACACCTACACTCAACATCTCAATCGACCTAAGTGAAAATGTGAACTGGGCCCCTAACCTCATCGATTAATCATACTGAGAGATAAATCAGCTGAGAAACCAATTGAATTAAAAGGCTCCTTTATTTGCTGAACATGATAAATAACCCAGGAACAATCCTTTAGCACAGACGGCTATGACTCATTTGTGAATGCTCAGCTCAAAATGATCCTGAGAGTAGAGAGAAATGACAGCTATCATGATTATGGTTAACATCATTGGCTGCTATTATTACCACATTTTATTAAAAACTCATTAAAAAGTGGATGTGCCATAGTAAAACTTTTTGTGAGAATTTAAGATACAGAGAAAAAAAATTCAGGCTTCCATGACCAGGTTTATATTAATGTTTAATACATTTTTTTTTTCAGTTTTTGGTTGAGGCCAGGTTTGAACCCACCACCTCTGGTATATGGGGCTGGTGCCCTACTCCTTTAAGCCACAGGCACCATCCATTTAATTCTTCTAACTTAAATTTGTTTTTGGTCCATGACTAACAATAAATGACTGAAATAATATGTATATCACAGAATACTATTCAGCCACAAAAAAGATGGAGACTTTACATCTTTCATATTAACCTGGATACTTAGTAAAGTATCAAAAGAATGGAGAGGCAAGTATCTAATGTACTCAATACTAATATGAAGCCAGTAGAAGATCTAATATACATTCACATAAGAGAAAAACTCAATAAAATTCAAATTGGGGGAGGCAGAGAAGGAAGAGGGAGAAGAGAGGCTGGAGGGGGATGGGTGTGCTCCTACCTAATGGGCACAGGGTAAGGGGATACAGCAATCTCCTGAGTGCAGGACTCAGCTACAAGAGGGACTCTACTGAAAAAACACAAACACTGTATCCTGCTCATTTGTTCCCTCACATTAACCTGAAATTTATAAAGAAAAATACCCTATTGACTTTCCAAAGAACAGTCAAAGGTTAATCAAGACCATCTCTAGCATCTTTCCAAAGAACAGTAGACAATAGGGTCAATCAGGATCCTAGTGGGCCAATCAGAAAATGAGTGAAAAGTACTGGGCTTCCAAAGAACTCTTGATATTTCTTCAAAATTGTATATAAAACCCCTAAATTGTGTTTTCTGTAAGGCCTACAGTCAATAGGACAGGGCCCACCTGCTGTACAGGTGGTTGATAAAACCACTTCTTAGCTAAAAGAAAAAAGAAACACTAAAAAAGCTTTTACATTTTCAGAAAAGGAAGATAAATCAGGATATAACAGCAAAATAAAATAAATAGCATTCTAACTGATAATTATCACATGATACAATAATTTTAACTAATTTGGTCACAGTTTAATTATAACCTAAGTTTTATTTGATCAGATCTCTAAGAAACTAGTATCCTGCATGTGTTCTATGCTTAAAATGCATATTTTATTCTCCTCCTATTGTCACCAGGCAATTCAAAAATGATTGCTCGTGACCAGGGTAAGGCTATATACCAGTCACAAAATTTATCAGCTCCCTGTAGAATGACCTCTGTTTGAATCTCCTTAGGTTTCTCTAACTTGTTTTATTCATGAGGCAGTCTTGTTCCAAAAGGCCAAATACAGTTATGAGAGGCAAAGGTCAGCACCCATGTTTAGGTAGCCTTTCCCTTAAGAAGCCTATGTTCCTGTTGAGGGAGGCAGCCTCATCTCATCCTCTCAGGAGGCCTCTGCTGCTCCAGACCACAGGTCTTCCTAACACCCATCAGTCTGATCTGCCTTCCTGTCACCACTTTTAGTTTCACTTTCCTCGGGACAGGTGAGTGTCGGCTGTTGTCCCCACCTGAGCCATCACCTCCCTCTCCTCTGTTCAGTCATATTCTAACTGTACCCTAAGTTCCAGTTCTCTTCCTCCACAAACTTGCCAGAACATCCTAACCCTCAGCTCAATCTCCCTTTCCTGGTCATAATACTTCCTACTTTGGCAAATGCTTCTCTTAGCAATCAGTCTTCCAAGCTAAATCATCGGCTTCCTGGGTAGAGGCCTTGGTATCTTCAAGCCCTACTCTGTTGTTACTATCCCCTACCTAGGAGTCCCCAGCAAGTGTTAGCAAATCAGGAGTGGTGACTGATTCCTGTGATCCTAATCCTTTGGGAGGGTGAGGGAAGAGGAACACTTGAAACCAGTAGTTAGAGACAAGCCTGGGCAATATAGCAAGAAAGTAAAAAGAAAAAAATTAGCCAGGCACAGTGGTCCTCACCTATAGTCCCAGCCACTAAGGAGGCTAAAGCAGGAGGATTACTTGAGCCCAAGAATTTGAGGTTGCAATGAGCTATGATGGTGTCACTGTACTCCAGCCTGAGTGACAGAGCAAGACTCTATCTCTGAAAAAAAAAATAATAAAGAATTAATGATGTAATGCCTTAACACATTTCTAATATATTGACATATATAACTATTATATTTTAAGTTTACTTATGGCCATGTATAG